CGCCGAACCCGTGCTCCGAGCAAGCTCCCTCGTCGACGTCGACGCCATCCACAAAGACATCCTAGCTGCCCTCCCCACTGATCCCGCCATCGCCGACTACCTCGCCAGCCCGATCCCAGAGGACTCCCGTTGGTCTCGAGATGCAGATGGCCTATTACGGCTAGACAACCGAATCTATGTCCCTGATGCCAACGACCTCCGGCTTCGCATCCTGAGGTATAAACATGACCACCCGCTCTCTGGCCACTTCGGGCAGAACCGAACCTTGGATCTGTTACACCGAGAGTACACTTGGCCGGGCATCCGCACATTCGTCAAGGACTATGTGTCCTCTTGTACGGCTTGCACCCGCGCCAAGGTGCCACGACACAAGCCGTATGGCTTGCTCAAACAGCTACCTATTCCCGAACGCCCGTGGCACTCCATATCAATGGATTTCATTGAGCAACTTCCCGACTCCTCCGGCTTCACGGCTATCTTGGTTATCATCGACCAGCTATCAAAGCAGTGCGTCTTCGTACCAACGACCGATACCATAACAGCCCCGGAGTTAGCGAAATTGTTCCTCCTTCACGTCTTCTCTAAGCATGGCGTTCCATCCCACATAACCTCTGATAGGGGTTCAGAATTCATCTCCCACTTCTTCCGCTCCCTTGGCAAGGCATTGGACATTCGCCTACACTTCACCTCGGGTTACCATCCCGAAGGCGACGGTCAGACTGAATGAATGAACCAAACACTGGAGCAGTATCTGCGCGTCTATTGTAACTACCAGCAGGACAATTGGTCTGAGCTCCTGCCTCTGGCAGAGTTCGCCTATAATAACGCACTGAATGCTACAACTGGTGTTTCACCGTTCTTTGTGAACAAAGGTTACCACCCAAACCTTGCCATACACCCCGAGTGAGATCTGACTTCAGCGCGAGCCCAGGAGTACTCGGTCGATCTCGACTCTCTCCACCAATTCCTACGCGAGGAAATGAACCACGCACAGCAACATTACCGAGGCCCTGCGGATGCTTGACGGCTACCTGCTCCCCCATTCGACATTGGCAGCTCTGCATTCATGAAGGCCAAGTACTTCCACACCACTAGGCCTTCGGCGAAGCTCGCCAATAAGAACCTTGGGCCATTTGAGATCATCGCGCAGCCAGGTTCTCATTCTCATACTCTCCGCCTCCCCGACACCATGAAGGCTGTGCACCCAGTCTTTCATGTCTCCCAACTTGAGCCCGCTGTCCCCAACCCCATCCTGAACCGCACGCAGCTGCCACTGCCACCAATCGAAATTGACGGCGAACCTGAATATGAGATCGCTGAGATCCTCGACTCTAAAATCGATCGCTGGCGAAGCTGCAAGCTGTTGTACCTCGTACGTTGGGACGGTTACGAAGGGACTACAGAAGAGACTGAGTGGCTCCCTGCAACCGAACTTGGTCACGCTTCAGACCTCATTGCGGACTTTCACTCACGATACCTGGATAAGCCGGGACCAAATCGCGCCTAAGGCACAGGACAGAATGGATGGATTGCGCTTAAGGATCATGTAAGAACAAAGTGGAGTAGGAGTCAGAAGTAGACGTCGTGGGACGATCGACCCTAGACCCCGTCACGCTCGCCTCCCTCTCCCCTGCTTCCCTCGCCTTGCGCCTCGCCCTCGCCTCCATCAACCGCCTCTCTTCAGTGTCACAAACGTGTTCCAACAATCGTCCCGCCACAGCGGTTAGACCAGAGATCGCTTGATGGATGTTGCGAAGCACATCATAGATCCTGTCTTTGTCGTTGACCACCTCATCTTCCTCCATCTCCACATCGTCCACATCCATCGTTGACCCCTCTCCTTTCGGCGCTTTGATATGAGGTTGCTTCGTAGATTGAGGTGTCCCCACTCCGCGTTGTAACGGGTCTATCGCCTAGACTCGAGACAGAGAGAAGGGGGAGGGTGGTAGTGTGCGCGGGTGTGGTTCATTGGGCCGGGTTTTGGTCCGTGGGCGCTACTGAGTCTGCAAAAACCTCAAACAAACACTCACCTACGTCTCTCTTGGACGTCAAGGCTGAGTATTATGATGTGAGGGGTCTTAGACGTTATCAACTAGCTCAATGGGGGCGTTAGGGTCATGGATGGTGTCTTTGCCACTTGGATGCAACTTCTGCTTGTCCCCTCACGGGTCTATTCAATACTAACTTGTTATGTACAAGCTGTTATCTAGTTTATATATGTTGGAAATGAAATGAATGGACTGGGGGAATGTAAACGGGCCGTTAGGCAACCATAAATGATGAATATCCAATTGGGAACAAAGAAACAATAAAAGAAATATGAGTGAATGGGGAAAATGTGACAACGGGTCCGAAATGGGAATTGTGAAGATTAACTCCGCAACAGTTCGCCACAGCACCCGCCTATCCTCCCGTCAGCAACCTCCTCGTCTCCAGCTTTCCAACGAGCCCTTATTCATCCCATTTGGTGCAGTGGTTCTTGAGATGTGGAGAGGGGGTGAAATTGGCGGCGTGGTTGGGTGTGGGAATTTGGCTTGGGGCTGTCGGGAATGATGGGGAAAATAAGGAAAAATATGGAGTGAGTGTATGGAGTGTTGGATAGTGATAGAATGAGTATCGGGAGCGTCAGCGGATATGTACTGCGTGTTAGTGACCAAATTCCGCAGAATCCGACTTTTTGCGGTACACGGAGTTGTCCCCACAACAGCGTACACACTTCTGCCTGGACTTCTGACACACAGTGCAGATGCCATGATCGCTGTTGCCTTTAACACACTCCACACCTCTCTTCACACAACGTTCGCAGGGGGGCAGTCCTTCCCCCGCCACTGATGTAGCAGCAGGACGCTTTGATCAGGGTGATCAGTAAGGGTTCCTGGAAAAGATCACACTGATCGGGGTACTCACCTTGCCTGCGACCACATCTGATGCCTTCGATCGCCTCTCCTCCTCAGCGGTGAGACGTGCAGCCTCAGCTCAAGCCCTGGCCGCCTCCTCTTGTTGTTGGGCCTCATGATGCGCAATCTCAGCCCTGCGATGCCGCAACCTCTCCGCCTGTTTCTGTTCCATCAGCTCTACATCGTCATTGGACTGATCGACGATGTCCTCCTTGCTCCACGTCCTTATATCTGCTGGATTTTTCTTGGGAGCCATGAGGATGGAAGATCAGGTTGTTGTGGTGGTAAGTTCAATCACCGCACCAGCGGAACCAAAATTTCAGGCTCAGCCAAACTGGTTCCCATGCCAGTTCCTTGGGACTTCAAGGGTTCAGTCCTAAGAGGGGGATACTGTCATGACCCGGCGTTCCCCAGGGCCAGACGACCTCCTCCCTGACCTTCTCCCACGCCCGAACACTCCCCACACACTCCGCTCGCCGCCCGTCGCCGTCTAACCACTTCCCACCACCTCTCCTAACCATCGTTGAATGACCTAGCGGTGCAGAGCGCCGCGACCTGTTGTCCCATGTTTCACCGCACCTTGTTACCTCGCGGCGAAGGTCACACTTGACCTTCGCTGTCTTGAACACATGCTCTTTGTTTGTTTTCCTCCTTCTTTTCTCTGCCCGCAATCTCCGTGAGATCTGGCGACTTATTCCCTATTCAGTTCCCTAGCGCTTATATACAGCTTGTAACTAATGCTTGTACAGTAGTTCGAAATCAACTAGAATTCACCCCTAAGCTTACCTCTGTCCCCCGTAAGACCTCCAACCTTCTGAAGTATCGGGACCGCATCGAGAACGAGGCACAACGCTCCTCCTCAAGTCGTTGAAGCCAAAATCCCGGCTCACTCGCCTAAGTAGCCTTGGCCTCAAGATCGGTGGGGTTTATCCCTCGCTAAAGCTCGGTCATGTGTAGGACGCCTTTACCACTAGTGGGCAACGTTCGGTCACCTACGGCTACCATCGGCAAAGATTCGCACGGTTCTGACAGATACCCAGGGACACGATGCTACACTAGAGCCGACTTATTTTAGAAGTTGCATGTAAGTGTCTCAGACTCGTGTTAGAGATCTATAATTTGTATGTACCTATGGTGTGTAAGTGTCTGCACCAACAGTTAGACAGTTTTGTAAAGAATAATAATATCTATCTCACCTCAGACTCGTGTTAGAGATCTGAGGGAGAGGGAGTCCAAAAAACTCCCTTCTTATATGCGAACTACACCAGTGGCAAGCCCGTCACATAAAGAAGAAAAATGGGGTGTAAAAGACGGGCCCCCAAACTGTTGAAATCTTGGTTTTCTTGGGAGTTATAGTGCGCTGTGGCCAACTCACAATGTGATGTTGAGCTAGCGGCGCTATATTTCCTTTCTTGGTATTCCTGCTACCAAAGTCAGTGCGCCATTGAGGCGACTGCTTATAAAAGCAGTGAACAATTTTTTCACTTTCGTCTCCCTCAGTTCAACAACGATTGACTGAGGTGAGACTGCGCTTTTACCACACATTTATCTTGTCACTCATGTACCCTCATGTGCCCTAGCGTAAAACGCTAGGTAATTAGTTCCAATCTAATTAGTTCAACAACGATTGACTGAGCGTAAAACGCTAGCGTAAATCGCTAACATCCTAATACAAACTTCACTTCCGCCACCAACAATCAACACCGTCCTCGCCACTCCGTCGTCGGAACCGATTGTTGATATTCCAACAGTGGGTTGCATCCAAATTGGCACCACAAATCCTCAATGGGTGATTGTTGACTCGAGCGGTTCCTGGGGCCGCACCACCTTCATGGATGACTCACTGACTGTGGACACTCCCCAACAAGACGGACTCTGACAAGAATCCATTGTGTATGCTTAGGATACCTAGCTACAAATCAAATGTACATCTAGCTTCCGAATTGCGACTTTGTCTGGGTCTACGATGAGATAAAAATCCGGCTCTGTTCCGCCTCCAGCAAACAGTGGAACCGGTCTGTAAAAGAGCGGGGTAAAAGTCCTATTCCACTGAGCCTGAAGGTAGCAGTCCGCGAAGTTACATGATAACGGACAATGTCTTGTTTCCAATAATCACACAATGGTCAGTCTTGACCTATCACGTTACAATATCATGGAATTGCTTCTCTCAGTGCCTGTTACCTCGACCCTTCTGCACCTTGCGACATTCAAATGGGACGAAGGACTAAGAATTCAACTTAGTAACGCTGAAGAAACCGGGAGCCAGGAAATAGACATGACCAAAGGGCTAGGGTAGCGCCGAATACATAATTATGCACCCACCAAAGGAAACCGAAGGTCACAGCACCTTCTCCTTTTAGCAAGACCAAAAAATACTTACAATCGGAACCGCACCCGAAACCCCGGGAGTAGAGTAAAATTGAGCTGGCAACAAAGACCAGACAATAACTCCTCAATAGAGAAGGCACGAAAGCCGAAGCGTAGCCGCAGGTGCGAAAAAGGAGAAAGAAAGGTACGGAGGCCGAAGCGTACAGCGGACGCGAGAGAGGGGGGGGGGGGGGTAACATAGTAAATCCAAAAAATATTTCGTTGGAACATAAGAGGTGCAAACTGAACATACGCGGATGATCGACATGCGAAGCGCCGTGTCAGCCGAAATGGCGTACAGGAAGGCCAGACATTTTTGGCAAGTAATGCCATATAAGATGTGAGAGAAAAAGGCATAAGCGCCGTGACCCCACGATGGGGGGTAGCTACCACAAGTACAAGTCTGGACCTCATTCCCGAAGAAAGTTCCTAAACCAGGCGAAAAACTCATGCGAGAGGGGTGAGGAGGGGGGGGGGCGTGGGACGTCGCGATTCCCGAGCGAAGGATTTCTCTGAAAAATCGGACGAGACTGAAAGAGACAGACGGTACTGATGAATCTAATACTCTCCAGCCCGAGAGCCGACAGTCTCTGGAACGTAACCGGAAAACCCAACGTTCAACTTCAAGAACATGATAGCCTTTTTTTTTTTTTTAAAAAAAATCCCATCGATGGCTAATGTGTCCCAGGCACACAAAATTGCTTCGGCTTGATGTGGTTGGATCTGTACGCGCTGGGGTATGAGGTAGAAGACAGAGAGGAAGGGATAGGATGAGTGAAAGAGGTACATGTCCTCTGATGGCAGAAGAAAGGTGTTTTTTAGGAATGACCAAGAGAATAGAATAAGTAGGGACACGGTTGCGAAGGCTCCTGCAAAAAAAAGATTAGGCCAGCCTATTAAGGAATCTAAACAAGTTTGGGATGGAAGGGATTCGTGCAGCCCCACTGGCACGACCTGCCGCCTCATCTCGGGATATGTACAAAAGTCGAGGTAATCTTCAGACTGAAGAGACTAAGAGACAGCGCCTCAGCAAAAAGAGATGTACTTATTCTTTTGTTCACAATTATCCTCGAATAGTGGGGGAGCGAACATCCGGTATTTTGGTGGTGAATGGGATCTCTGGCGGATAAAACTGATTGTCAAGATTCCATACTCTAACAAGCGGCTTCTCCCTCAAACGCAAGCAGTACTGTTCCACGCGCGGGGTGAGCGTTGCCACACTCGAAAGCTGACAGCAGTTGCAGTAGGGCAGATGATCTGACGGTGAATCAATAAAAATTATGAGCGTGGGAATTCAGGTCGTTTTTCCGACGGAAATCGGCAAAGCTCGCGTTCCAGAACTCGGACCCTCTTTCACTGTCATCACTACGTACGTAACTACCATTGAACGAGGATGAATAGTGTTCACTAACTCGCTGGAGCTTAAGCACTGAATTCGCAATTTACAATCGTCGATCAAGTCGTTAAACTCTCGCGGGCGGCGCAACCACCAACACACTTTTCCCCTTCCGTCCTTCGCGCTCATCTTCTCCTCCTTCAAGTTTCAAGCCTTATCGGGGGGGCTCAATCTTTTCCATCGAAGCCATTTGAGATGGAGATGCCAACTAGCCGCAGCTGCATATGGATCATGATATGTATATCACTAGAGCGCTCTTTGTAGGCTCCCACTCGCCCCAGCGCTTCTCCAAGCTCTCCAAAGTGCGGTAAGAACTGCAGACAGAATGGTTAGCCAGTTCGGCCCGTAGAACTATAATAAAATAAACTGAAGTTAGGGCAAGCGCGCTTGGGAGAGATTGGGAGGGAGGGGGGCGCATACTCCGAAAATCACTGGGAGGACATATTTGAAGAGCAGTTTGGCAAAATCTCGCCAGGTAAGATTCCCTGCATTGAAGTAGCTCAACCCGTTTGATAGCGAACCCCCCACTGTAAGGCAATGTTTTTATCAACGTACCATTTGGAATAGCTGCCAACATGTTAACATCAGTCGCGATGTCCGATACCATGGCGCCTGATATCATGCACAGCAGCCGTGTGGCCATCTGAAGGAACTGCAAACCAAAAGTGTGCGGTTGAGACTTCAAGTAGTAGCACTGAGGGTGGGGGGAAAACTTTTGTTTACGTTCGCTAACAGCTCCCTTGCTCTAACGAGCCCACTCCTAATCACCCGAACAGCTTCTTGCGCCTCCATGAAATTCGCGTCAAAGGATGTTCGCTAATAAGTTAAAGTCAGAGTCAGAGTCAGAGAGCGGCGCTCTCGTTCACAAAAGGCAGCAAGGCAGGCAAAGTTGACACACAGGCTCAGATTCTGCCATTATTCCAGAAGATCAAGGACGATGAAGATCAAGATGAGGAGAGTGGAAACTTTTAAGTAAATCTTGAACGGGGATCGATAACTCCTCTCTCTCTTTTTGCGGGAAAAGCCGTTATCGCATGGTGAGCTGCAATGCAGGGGCCCAGGCTTGGGGTTCTTCCCGCTTGTGGCAAATCAAGAAAATGAAACAATGATTGTCATATGTATATATATATGTATGATTCGCGAAGCATGTGATAGCAGTGCAGGGGGGGAGTGGGAGTGCCTTCTTTCGACAATTGATCATTCATGGTCCCATATTCGGAATGCCCGTTTTCGGTTGTCGAGAAATAAATGGATTTACCCTTGAGCATTGGAAAACACCAAAAGTCATAGCTGTCCGTTCAGGAATAAGCCGTCGAGGGGGGGGGGGTTGGGGTCAAACATATTAGACTCAAGCGTGCGCTGAGCTTATTATGAGGCCAAACTTGGCATGACGTTTTGTTGATGTCGAGTCTTCGGCTAGCGGCGTCTTGCAGATTTCCCTTTCTTACCTGTTTTGGTTCAAGTTAAGTAAGTTCTTACTATACTCGCTACAAAAGTCAATGATGCGCAAATTCAGAGGTGTTTTTGCGTTCCCCTCTTGAGCCTCAGAGAAGATGTACGTCCCTGCTGGCAAGGGGGCCCGAGTTACCACTGGTACTAGTGTAAGGCGTTGCCCATCCCCTTTTTGCTTCCAGAGCTAGAGATCGAGATTGACTGGCTGACGGAGACGGAGACGTTCAGCGTTATACATACCTCCTTCCTGCCAAGGAATGCGACAAAGGACCTAGGTCTAGGTAACTCGAAAGCTTTCGTCGTTTTTTTTGGACAGCCATGCAAGTGCATGCTGCAGCGCGCTAGAGCCTGTTGTTGTGCATCAGGTGGGACTCGTAATTACCGGCCCGGCCCACTGGCAACACAGTTCGAACCTAATAGTACGTACGTCTTAGTCGGTAGAAAGCGAGATGTCTATATTATAGAGGTCATGGCATGAGTGGACTATCGACATGACATTTCAGTATAACTTGGGGAAGGCACTATATATTGACTGGAGGAGCCCCTCGATTCTTGAAAACAGTACTAGCCCTTTGCGATTTTTAATGAGCAAAGGAGATTTCTCCTTTCTACCAAGATGTTACAAACGCAATACCGGTAACTGAAAAATCATACATACATAAATGGATCATTGCATTAAGTACTGCGCAGTGTCATTGTGTGCGATCAACGCGCACGCGATGGTCAAAATCAGTACTCCTGAAACCGTCCTCCTGAGTTCGACGTGAGTGACACCTTCCGAACCCCTCCCCCCGTCCCCCCGTCTTTTTTTCGCAGTCCATCCCATGCAAAGTGTCTGGCCTTATCTTCACCTCTTTTAGCCATTCCAGGAGTGACGGCGGCGAGCGCTTGCGCTTGCGCGAAAATCGGGATCGAGCCGGCCTCTCAACCTCTCCAAGCTTTCGCGATCGCGATAACAGCTGCAGCCAATAGTAGCCATTGTGGTGCAAGGGCCTAAGTACAAATAGCTCAAGTAAGAATGGGGGGGGGTTCTTGGATACGATATGTAATGGATTTAGTTTAGACATACCACGGTAACTGGAGGAGCGACGTAGATAACTAGATTTAGCACAACTTTACCCATCCATTTGATCCAGTCCCATAAAGTGGAACAACTGCGGGCCTCTGAAGTAAGGATACCCTCTTTTTAGCAGCGAACCTTAACGAGCGGAGCAGAGACAAAGGCCGGCCACGTACCATTGATAATGGATGCCGATGTGTCTAAAACGTTCACAACCATCGGCCTTACGGCGTCCAATAGAAGGCGTAGTAGTTCAGTGATGATTCGAAACAGCTGAAACCAAAGGGGGGGAGGGGCAATGATTACTAGTAGCAAGCAAGGAGGATCGATCTCGTGTTACACTCTTTAAAAGTTCTCTGGCTTTGGCGAGCTCTCTCTTGATAACTTCGATCGCTTCGCGTAACGTTTCCCATGTTTCAGTATCAGATTGTACTGTTCCCTTAATACGAATTCAAGGTCAGTCAGAGAGGCACGTCAAGACAATAGACGCAACGTACGTGCAGCCTTGATTCTGACATTCCTACAAGAGGTTAGGACGACGATGGGAGAGAGAGAGGAGGGCAAAGCCTGAGACTTGGATCAACAAGAAACCCGTAACAGAGGGCTTCACGTCTGATATAACATAGGAAAAAAGGGGGGGATACACGCTGTTATCGCATGCGCATGGTTCTCCTTGGGGCCCAGGCTTAATATTTGTGGCTGATCCTATACTTACTGTAGCCTGAGACTGATTTGCTGTATTAGCCATGTATTATGGCCAATCCATGCACGTGGATGCGCACCAAGACGATGAAACAGAAAGCCTTATAAAGATTCGTGAGCATGTGCATGTGGCCTTGTCGACACATCGTCCCATATTCGGTGGGGTTGGGAGGGGAAGGGGCGGTCCAACCGCATTCGGTATCGAGAAATAGAACCGAATAGCTCAGGTCCTGGGATGACCGGGGGGAAGAGGGCGAGGGGGCGAGCACAGAGTACTGCACACGAGCTTTTTTACGACGCGTCCTGATGCCAGACGGGAGTCCCAATATTGCTGACGCTGCGGCATTATCACTAGCTTCTGCTGAGAGCTGAGGCAAAGTAAGTATATTGGGTTCACTCGATACAGTAATAATGGCCGATGCTTGATTCATGGAGAAGGACGTACGAAGAAGAGCACCATCCTCGTCGTCAGTGTTTTCGCTCTGCCATTTCTTACGAAGTCGTTAGAAGCTAGAGTCCTATTTATTATGTAATCGATTTAGTCTGGATGTAGCAATCCCACGGTCATCTGGCACTTGCCCCCTTATTCCTTATCTGGGGTCGATGGCGTCATCACGAGCTCGCAATCACATTCGCCGTTCACTCTAGGGGGGGAAGTGGGGTTGGCAAATATTTTATGCCTTATTACTACTACCTAGCCTCATGTCGGAAAAAGTAGTACATAAGTAGTGTCCCATCTGACTTGTGGGGCCTAGCAACCCGCCGCGGGACGCCCGCATCGATCAACCTTCATTCCAATGCAATCGGATTTGGGGCGCGCGGCTACGGGCCGGGTACAGTAACTTCCAAACCCAAAGCGCTTGAGATCGCATGTGTTTGGCTGCCTTTATATGTCTCGTCGGACCGGTTATACGAGCCCGTGGTTTGCTCTGCGATCCGTTGCATGAACTTGCTAGAGTGATAATACCGTCATCAAACAACAGTACAGCTATATAGGTGTGACGACATCGTCTAAGCTAGTAGATTCACTGGGCTGTAACTGACATGCAACCTTCTCCTCCTCGCGCAGCGCTAGGTCCTGAAAATTCCCAATGAACCACAACTAAGAATGGCGGTTCAACTCTGGACAACACAAACAGCATGTAAATGCTCAAATGTTTTCAAAGGTCGTCAAACCACCAACCAAGGGGCTTGTCCGTGTCCTTTGAAGATCGGATTTCACAGTATCATTTCAGGCTTTTCCCCCAGCGCTCCAAGCGCACTTCATGAGCATCGGAACACCCAAAGAGTCTCGCAACCGGTCATGCCTTCTCAGCTAGTGCAGTGTCTGAGTGATCATCACTTTACTCTTTTGTTTTCTCCCTTACATGCATACTTCTCAGACGGTGGAAACTTGATGCCTTTTTGTTCGTTAGCCCCCACCCCACCGATCCTAAAACGGAGTTCAACGGGAGGTGAAGGGGGCCTTTTCTATGCCTAATCGGGACGACACGATGTAGCATCTCGAGCTTCGGAAGGATTGGTCACAAATAAGGATCATGCGTGCGTACTGTCCATACTCTTTGTCTTTCGATGTGGGTGCACGGACATGTTTTGGAAATTATGTGTGCGCTTCCCGGGGGGGGGTCTTGATGATCGATCGGCATGTCCGGGGCATTTGTGTCTAAGCGTCTGTGTTGGGTTGGGCTTGTGTAGGAGGACGCTGTTGCACATGTAGTAGTTAAAGCGTTCGGTCCGTTCTTTTATTTAACATGAGTTGGCTCATTCACATAGACGATCAGAAACAGCTTGCAGTGGACTCGATAGGCTGTTCCTTGTTTCAAAGTGCCTCAGAAGTCATCCGTATTCTCAGCGAGAGTCTTGAATGGACAAGATTATGGCAACGCCTTTGCTCCTTCATATTCCATGTTTTTTTTTTTTTGCCACGACACCTAGCTACCTAACCACTCGTAATCGGTGCTTCCACCCCTCCATCCCCCCCTCCCGCCCAACTACCGAATATAAGAATTCAACACCAGGACTTTGACCGGGACGGCCTAGCCACCGACGACCGAGAGCCTACAAGTTAATTGAAATCTGATCGGGCCGGGAGCGGAGGGGCCTAGTTGGACATCGGGAGGAACTATTTTTATTCTATTTTCGCGTACCGGCAATACTAATTTCAGTATCTTTTGAACTGCTTAGTAGTGAACCTTACGAAGAGCAGAACAGCTATTACGTATTGAGGAGGAGTGTCAATCTGTTGGACCGGAGGGCTGATCTGTTACTATCAGCAGTTGCAATTAAAAACAACTGACGTATATATATAGACGTCCGTTACCACCGCTAACGATTTTTATTTTTTCCTCGTTATAATAATGCATGCAACGTATTAAACTGTTCGGCAACTTATAGCGCTTGTTCGCTAATCCATCTTATGCACGTCTTACATCGGATTATATATATACGGGTACGTACAGTACGTTATCACTTAAAGCTGTTGCGCTCATCATCCAACAACGTGGTGGCAGCTATATACTACCAGACCAAGGCCAGGCGTTACAGTGCCGTGCTCATATCATATTGTGGCCAGATAGCCTAGTCGCCTGGATGTAGTAGATTGTTATGTTTCTCAACGACCTCCTCTTCTGCAACTCCGATGGTACGTCGATCGACCAAATAGAAGGAAAGAAAGAAAAGAAAAAAAACGCTGGCAGAAATGGTAGAATCCCAGACTCCCCCTGGCACGATTGACTTTTTTCTCTCACCCCCGCGCTGTCCAGCGTAACACCTTGAAGATCCAGGGTGAGTCATTGATTCTTGGGAAAAGGGATTTGTCATAGGAACCAGCATCGTATTTTGTTTTTAAGAAACAAGGCATCGGTACTGAAGTGGATGTATGGGTCAAACTTGTTCGGGATTTCTGGGAATGCCACTTTCATCACTCCATTTAACGATGATGTTGGTGTGAAGGGATGATGGAACAACAGGAAACATTATTATTATTTCAATCGTTCCTTACATTTGGATGTTCCGCTGCTGGGATCGTAGCGCTTCTCCGGTTATCATTCTTATTCTTATTCTCCCCGGGGGGCATTCAAAGCTCTCTCAAGCGTGAACACAAAAGTTGCGAGTGATATGGCTAACCATGGCCGAGATCCCGCGAGAGCCTTGCAAGCAACGTTTAGTGTCAGAGGGTGTGAATGATGAAGGGAACACTTGGAGCATTCACATACCGCGATAACACCGGGGGCAATCTGGGCAAGCAAGTTCGGCATGTTTCCACCGACATCTTTGGCGATATCCCATAAAGCAGCAAGAGTTGGGTTCTCTAGAAGTGGCTTGCCCGTTTGGTGTGGTGAGTCCCACAAGATGCAGAATAGGGCTCTACGTACCAGCGAGGACAGGTTCCAAATTGTCCGTCAACAGATGCCCTTTGGCTTTCCACATAGCAGAAACGATTCCGATTATCAGCATAGAGATGCTTATTAACATGCTTAGCTTCTCCGCCGATATATCCGTTGGAAGAATCTACAGCCAGAGAGGGTGAGGGTGAGGGTGAGGTTTTTGGTTAAGGAAAACCTCGTTACATTGGCTATCAGACGTTCTCTTCTTGGTCCCAATAACCCTCCAATAACGGCTGGAGCTAATATCTTACATATATCAATGAAGCTTGTTCCAGGGAATATTCGCTAATACGGATACATACAGTCAGAGAGCGCCGAAGCAAGGTCATGTTGCATGAAAAGATCGCGCGACATACGTTGATGAATTCCCCCACTTCGTGCAGAACGGAACGAATAAATTCTGCCTCTCCACCCTTGCTGGTTCTACGAGCCCTATGGCATCGATAGACTAGTTGGCAGAACGCAGGTTCAAAGTCCGTCATTATCACTGGCACAGAGATATTGGTGATTGAGCCCCGACCGAAGCTTGCTGCCTTATTTATGCAAAGTGGAGTTTGAATTGATCTGAAGGGACTAGTTGGCTGATTCTTGTAGCTGCGGCTGATCTAATTACACCAGAAGACGCCAACGAACATAGGGGGGGGGGAAATCCCGTGCAATTCAGGAGCACGGGAACACAATGATTCGCAAAATTTGATAAGATGTACAAAGGCGTCATGTTCTGATTTCATAGATACTCCAGTCTGTAGACTGAAGGGAGACACGTGGGTTAACCCCGCTCCGTGCGCGCTGGCACCACACGGTCGAAGGTAGCAATGTTACGCAAGTCCCATGCCCATGTGATGACTAGCTGGCATGTTAATTTCCCCTCCCATTCCGCGCATGAAATGAGTCCAATCTAGGTGTAACTCGTTTCTACAGTAGAGCTATAGAGGCTGGTCACCTGCCAGTAAGTAGATCAGCCTCTTGCAATGCAATAGATATGATACTTATGTGGCACTGCGGACAGACTTTTACGCATAGGCACCAGAGCTAGCAAAGTCCGGCGCTCGATCTAGGGTGCTCCGAAAAATTCCAGAGCACCAGGGCAGGTCTTCAGGCATTGGCACCTACAGTTCGGATCCATACGACTGAGCAGATTCACCGCTTCGCAGAGGGAACCGACGGACCGCATGCAAATCCGGGCCGTGATGCCCGTACCCCCTGCTGAGAGCTGGAGAGACCTACAATCAAGGTTGTAGTAAATCTTGGATGATATATATTCTTCCCACCATGTCGCTTGAATGCACACGGCGCCATTCACCTAATCTCAGGCTGATAGATCTCGGGCTTGCGCAGCTGGCCAGCACTGAAGGGGGACTGCCCTCTGTACTTCGACCACCGAGACGTCCTACGAGACAAAGACGGGATTCTGAACCTTGCAGACCTCCTGGGGAAGGAAGAGGGGATCAAGCGAGTGGCAGAATTCTTAAATGAGAGCAGGGCATATGAAAAGAAAAACGCTACTTAGGAGACAACAGGGTAAACCCGAGAGATAACGTCCGCTTGTGACCTCCCATCTTGGCACCGGTAACACAATATCCGAACATGTGTAAGTGACGACCCACCAGGGGAATATGGTTTGGGACGAAGAAGGACGAGTGTTCTCAGATCGGACTTATCTGTTTATTTTTCTCGAGACCCCTGCCCTTGGCGCTCGCGCGAGCAGCCTGAAGCTCTGCAGGTTAATATCCAGAATAAAACAAACAAACAATCTGAAGGGGGACATAGGCAATGCCTACTCTGGCGATGGCACTCGTCACCCTCCTGATACCCGTTGCAAATAGTATAATACTCATCTCTTCTTTGATATCGAGTCGTCGTTGTCGTTTTTGAGCCTGAGCCCCTAACAACGCGTGCTTTGGGGCCTCTGGACATACAAACCCATATGATTTGACCATGGCATTTGTTTTTCCTTCCCCCACGTCTTTGCAATGAAGGGTACATCGTTTGGATTGATTTCTATATCTTTCACCTTCATGGGCCTGTGCTGCATGATGGCCTGTCGGTGGAGGACTCAGAGACGACAGGCAAGCAGTTTATTTCTTCTGGGAATTTTGTTTTTTCTTCTAATTTTGGTTTTTTTTTTTTTTTTTAAATTATATCTAAACTGAAGCGCCTGCAGCATGATGAGCCAATGGACATTGGATGTTGAGATAATTTGGGTGTGTCAACTTCATTCCATCTGCCCATCGTGAGACGGGTTACAGCTGGCTCATAGATGTTAGAAACCACCTCTGCCTAATGCGGGCATTTAGTGTAATGGTAACACACTCTTGGTACCTATGCAGGGTTCTGCGGTTCAACTCCCAGAATGTCCATATTAGCATTTAGGTTCCCAAGACCACATGTACAAATTCCAACAATAGATACTCACATCCATAAGATGCTTGACAGCGAATCTGGTGTCTTGCTGTCAGGGCTCGGTCCTCAATCAGGGACAGCCCGACCTCGGTCCTAGGTGTGTGTGGTGTTCCGGGTGCTTGGGCGCTAGACCCCGTCCTCAGCTCCTCAAACTCACTGAAGGGACTAAGCGGGGATTGAGTTGTCATGTATTACAGAGGGTAACTACAACTTGCCTAAGCGGGGATTGAGTTGAGAAGAAGGGTAAGTTTCCCTATTCCCCGCTTGGCTACTATAAAAGGAAGTGTACTGTACAGTTCGTAACGTGATTCCGGGTAGAAGCCGAGCATGTTCCCGCGACTCGGAAAAGGTGTCACATGGGTTAAGGCGAGTTGCTCGCCTTAACCCACGTGACTTTTCCCGCGGGCTCACATGCGGGTTGAAGTTGTGAGAGGTATGTAGGGATGGGGAGGTCTGGGAAGGTGGTTCTGGGGTGTGGTTGGGTGCCCTGACAGCGGGGTCAGGGGCCGATCCCTGACATCACCCCCCCTCTATGCCACTTCGCCTCGAAGTGGCTGTGGTCCGTGGTTGGGGGGTTTCCTTTATCCTCCTTGGTCTGGGGGCTTCCGGGTGGGCCTGGTGGAATTCTTTCAGGAGGTCTGGGGAGTTCTCCAGGTTCTCTCTGGGGAGCCATTCATTTTCTGAGTTTGGCCAGCCAGAGAATTTGACGAAGTACCAGAGCCGTCCATACCGGTACCTGGAATCCAGGATTTTCTCCACTTCATACTCCTCTTCTCCATTCACGATGTCCGGGCCAGGGAGCGGGTCTGCATGGCGTTCGGAGATTCTGTCTGGGGCGTAGGGGCGGGTGTTTGAGACCGAGACTACCGGGTGAATTCCTCTTTGACGGGCCGTGAGCTGTAGCTTTACTGCTGCTGGGGATACCACCTTGACGATCTGGAAGGGGCCGATCCATCTGTGGTCAAGCTTCTTGGTTGGTCGGTCTGTCGTGTAGTTTTGAGTGTTGAGCCAGACTTTGTCCCCAACTTGGTAGACTGGTGCTGCCTTCCGGTTCCTGTCATAGTACCGTGCCATCTCTTCTGCTGCGTGCTCTAGTGCTGCCTTTGCCTCCTCTTGCATCTTCATCATCCGAGAGGCAAAGTCATTAGCCCCTTCGACTTCAGACATGCGGGTCGGTTCGGTCCCCATGCGTGGGTGTTGCCCGGAGTCAAGCTCGAAGGGGGTGCGGTGGGTGGAAGAGTGGATGCGGTTGTTATAGGCGAACTCGGCAAGTGGCAGCCAGTCAGCCCAGTCATCTTGCCTGTGGTTGACGAACACCCGGAGGTAGGTTTCTATTTCCTGGTTGACACGCTCCGTCTGGCCATCAGTCTGTGGGTGGTAGGCAGTTGAAGGGGCGAGCTTGATCCCTAAGAGGTCTGCTAGCTCCCTGGAGAAGCGGGAGACAAATGCGCTGCCTCGGTCACTGAGCACTTCCTCTGGGAGGCCGTGATGCCTCCAGACGTGTTCGAGGAAGAGCCGGGCCACGCCTGCTGAGTCTACCGTAGTGACTGTGGGGATTGCGTGAATGCGCTTTGAAAGTCGGTCTACCACTACCAGGATTGCATTGTACCCCTTGGAGTCTGGGAGTTCTCCAATGGTGTCTACTGAGATCACCTGCCACCTGCGGGTGGGGACCTTGTTCGGGATGAGCTTCCCGACTTTCCGAGATGGGAATGTCTTCACTCTGTTGCAGGTGTCACACCCCGAGACGTACTGTGCAACATACTGTGCCATCCGGGGCCACCAGTAGTTTCGGGAGACGAGCTCCACAGTCTTCCACCGCCCAGGGTGGCCTGTTGCCACCGAGTCATGGTGGAGTTGTACCAGGTCATGGCGGAGCTGTGGGTCTTTTGGGACATACACCCGGCCCCGGTGGAGGATCAGTTCCCCTTCCTTCTCCCATTCGTCCGAGTGTAGGGTCCCCCTTTCCAGCTCTCTCATTGCCTTTACCACTCCCTCGTCATGCTCCTTCCCCCTGCGTATCCGTTCCAGGATGTCTGCCTCTTCTCCCTCCACTGTGACCCCCTCCATAGCTCTGACTTCAAACCAGCCCGGGTGTAGGAGGGTCATGTCCGTGTTGTCATCCTTCCCTTTCGGGTGGTCCGGCCGACGTGAGAGGGCATCGGGCTTCCCCATGAGTTTCCCTGGTTTGTGGACTAGCAGGAAGTGGAAGCGGGAGAGGTAGAGGGACCACCGTGCCTGGCGCCGGTTTAGCCTCTGGGCTGAGCGGAAGTAGGAGAGGTTTCTGTGGTCGGTGTATATGTCGAACCTCTCAGGGGTGCCCTCAAGGAAATGGCGCCACTCTTCCAGGGCTCGGACTATGGCAAGCATTTCCTTGTCGTAGATTTCGTAGTTCCTCTCTGCATCTGAGAAGCCCTTTGACATGAACGCCACTGGGTGGAATTCCCCATCTGTCTGGAGCTGGGAGAGTACCGCCCCTGTTGCGAAGTTGGAGGCATCACACTCCAGTCGGAACTGACCTGAGTCCGATGGGAAGGTGAGGACCGGTGCTGAGGTGACAGCCTCCTTCAGCCCGTCAAATGCTTCCTGTTCCTTTCTCCCCCAGGTCCACTGCTTCGACTTCCGGGTGAGTGTGTGAAGGGGCCGGGCCTTCTCGGAGAAGTCCTGGATGAAGCGGCGGTAGAAGTTGACGAACCCCAGGAAAGACTGGACCTCTTTGACCTTCGTGGGTGCTGGCCAGTCAGTCACTCCCTGAACCTTCACTGGGTCCATGGCAACGTGGTTCTCCGAGATGACAAGGCCCAGGTAGTTGATCTTCCGCTGCTCAAACTTGCATTTCTCCGGTTTGAGGAACAGCTTCCGGCCCCTCAGTGTGGATAGGACCTCCCGGACGACCTTCCGGTGCTCCTCCAGGGTGGGTGTGAACACCAGGATGTCGTCCATGTAGCAGATGACGACCCCTCGGTCTATGAAATCCCTGAGGATGTCATTCATCATGGTCTGGAAGGTGGCCGGGGAGTTGCACAGTCCGAAGAACATCACCATTGGCTCAAACAACCCTCGGTTGGTTGCAAAGGCCGCCTTCCACTCATCTCCCTCCTTGATGCGGACGTTGTTGAACCCCCACCGGAGGTCGAGGGCTGAGAACCACTTGGCATCCCGGAGGCGGGTGAGGATGTCGGAGACTAGGGGGAGGGGGTAGGAGTTCTTGACAGTGATCTCATTCAGCTTTCGATAGTCCTGGACCAGCCTTAGGGAGCCGTCCTTCTTCTTCACGAAGAACACTGGGGCCCCCATGGGGGATTTGGATGGGCGGATCCGCCCATTTGCCAAGTTCTCCCTGAGGAAGTCATCGAGTTCCCCTTGTTCTGCAGGGGACAGTGGGAAGGTCTTTCCTCGTGGCAGCTTAGCCTCGGGGGTGAGGTCAATGGCATGGTCCCAAGGTTTCCGGAGTGGTAGTTGA